TGTCCAGACCCAGAGCAAGGAAAACCCCTGCCCAAAAGAGCTGACAGAAAATCTCTTCACCCCTCCCTGTCTCTGGGGTGGGGCACAGGGTGGGTGTGCAGGGCCCTTTGTCCGGCCCTGGGATGCGGCCCCTCTGGGGTCGAGCAGGGGATGGATGTGCAGGGCCGAGATGTACCCAGTCTGTTCCCCTGCAGGTCTGGAGAGCTCCCTGGCCCATCTGTGCCTGTCTCAGGATGACCTGCCTGAGCTCAATATCCTGCTGGTGGGCTCTGTGGACGGCCGGCACGTCCTCAGGACCATGAGCCAAGCCCACCGCTGGCCGCAGAGAAGGATCAATGTAGGTGTCTCCCCGTCTCCGCTGCCCTAGTGTGGTCTAGTGGTTAGAGTGGAGGCGGTAGGGCTGGGAGCCAGGACTCCTGGGTTCTCGCCCCAGCTCTGGGACGGGAGTGAGGTCTAGTGGTTAGAGCTGGACGTAGGGGGGAGCCGGGGCCCAGGACTCAAGCCCTGTGGCCAACCCTGCCCCGCATTTGGAAAGGGTTTCAGGAGCCCAATGCCCCAGCCCAGCCTTTCCCCCCGCCCTCAGCCAGGGCCCCGCAGCGTTTCTGAGCTGGCATCAGGACTCATCAGGCTGATGGACGGGACGGGGACAGTTTCTTCCGCGGGGCATCCTGAAGCTGGCGACACGTGTGGCACCGGGCGGGGGGGGCACTGAGCAAGGGGAGAGCTGTTCTGGCTGCCAGGCCTCCTCCCGCAGCCCCCCGATGCTTCTCAAAACTCCCCCCAGGAGAGGGTCACTCCCAGCCCGTCCCTGAGCCCTGCTCCCCAGGCTGCCAGAGGAGGGCTGGGGGCGTCAGTACCCATCAGGTTATTTTAGGGGGAGAGAAAGGATCAGAATACAAGTGTGAGGAGACATCTAGGGGGTTCTCTGACCCCTGGCACCTCTGTGGGGCTGGAGCAGCCCGAGCAACCCTGCCCCAGCTGGCACCCAGCCTGTCCCGTCGCAGTGGGAGAGATCTGGGCTGGATATTAGGAAAACCGATGTCTCAGCAGGTGGGGAAGCCCTGGCAGGTTCATCTCCATCCCTAGAGGTTTTTAAGGCCCAGCCTGACAAAGCCCTGGCTGGGGTGATGTAGTCGGCAGCGTTGGTCCTACTTTGGGCAGGGGCTGGACTTGACGGCCTCTTGAAGACTCTTCCAACCCTAATCTGCTGTGATTCTGTGCCCCGCTCCCCACAGCGCCCACTGCTGGGAATTCATCTCCATCCCTAGAGGTTTTTAAGGCCCAGCCTGACAAAGCCCTGGCTGGGGTGATGTAGTCGGCAGCGTTGGTCCTACTTTGGGCAGGGGCTGGACTTGACGGCCTCTTGAAGACTCTTCCAACCCTAATCTGCTGTGATTCTGTGCCCCGCTCCCCACAGCGCCCACTGCTGGGAAAGGTGGGGCTGGCATAGCCGGGAGCTCCCCCCACAGCCAATGTGCCTGCCCCGCTCCCCACAGCGCCCCCTGCTGGGAGAGACTCATGTTGAGAAGACGCCAAGCCAATGTGCCTGCCCCGCTCCCCACAGCGCCCACTGCTGGGTGGGGCTGGCATAGCCGGGAGCTCCCCCCACAGCCACTCTGCCTGCCCCGCTCTCCACAGCGCCCCCTGCTGGGAGAGGTGGGGCTGGCAGAGCCAGGAGCTCCCCCCACAGCCAATGTACCTGCCCCACTCCCCACAGCGCCCCCTTCTGAGAGAGGTGGTGCTAGAGTAGCCAGGTGTTCTCCACACAGCTAATGCGCCTGCCCCACTCCCCACAGCACCCCCTGCTGGGAGAGGTGGGGCTGGCATAGCCGGGAGCTCCCCATTTCACAAGAGGAGCTCTGTACTGCAGAAGTGACAGTCTGGCCTAGTGGGTGTTGTAGGCACAGTGGTGTGGTAGGCACAGTCGAGGCTGGACTGTAGGAACGTGTATCAGGGTCCCTCATGCCACAGGATCCCAAAGTTCCTTGCCAGCTTGCCATTTTGTTCATGTGGCACCGAGGTGCGGCAGGGGGCCGGCTACACAGGAATGAGTGTCCTCTGTAAGAGGAGCGCTTGGGCGGCTACCCAGGAGAGTCAGGTGCTGCCCAGCTGATTAGCAGAGCGCCCACAGCTGGCAGCCTGTGTGTCACATGGTGGTGCACATCTGCACTTACTTTGGTGCACACAACATTTATTCCACACATGGATGGCAAAAATTAGAGGAAACACTGATGGGGACCAATCTCCCGGCTCTGACGTGGCTCGTCTAGGGTGGCTGGCTCTCTGGGCCCCCCTCTCTTGGCTGCAGGGTGCAGTGTAGGGGCTGGCTACATGAAATTTCTCCAACCTGCCCCTGCATGGATGCCAACTCCCGCCAGGGCAGCTTGGTTTCTTTCCCGCTTCTCAGTTCTACATCGTGGAGAATAACCTCGAGGCGCTGGGCCGGCAGCTGCTCTTTCTCAGCCTTGCCCTGGAACCCCCGGAGAAAATGGGGCTGCAAGGTAAAGGGCCCTAACCCCCTTCCCTGACCAGTAGGTCCCACTCCCCTCCCAGAGTTGGGGATAGAATCCAGGAGTCCAGGCTCCCAGTCCTGGGCTGGGGGGTGGGGGGCCTCTGACGGCAGCACCCGCCTCTCCGCTCTGCAGAGAAGAGCGAGATGTTCCTGGAGCTGCTGGGGAACAGCCTGATCCGCAGCTCGACGGCCGCCTACCTGCAGGAGAAATCGGACCTGTTCATCCGCTACGCCACGGACCCGGACTTCCAGCAGCGCCACCTGGGGGCCCTGGACATGTCGGCTGTGAAGGTGGGTCCCTGCCACTTCCCACCAGCCTTCCTGGGAGCTGCCTTAGTGGTTAGAGCAGACATGGCTCTCGGCCTGCTGGGAAATAAAACACCACCCCAGAGTCTTATGGGAACTGTAGTTCAGGTGCTTCATACTTGCTGTGGGCCAGCCCCCACCCCAGACTACGTCTCCCAAGATGCACCACAGTCTCACTGGCCATCCATTGTGACAGTGGCCAGCCCGTTTTGCCC